TTAGCGTTGATTTACTATTGAAGTACCCCACCATCCCACCATACATTTCTTCCCCCCTTTCTAAGCAAGAAACCATTGTTCTAAATGACAACAACGTACCTACATGCGCCATACCGAATAATGACTCAGGCTAACTTAGACTCGCTCGTGTCGAGAATTTCCCCTCCTCAGACTAACTGAGATGTATCAGAGTACTTGTATTGTCCGAAGGGTTGAAAGTTGGAGCGGGGGAGAGAAATCGTGCCTAGCGAGAGGGGTGGTTCCCCCCTTAAATACCTACCTGGGGCCCCAACTTCAAACTTCCAGCGTTGGTACGAGATTTGACCGATCTCTCGGCATACAGTAGCGTTTCAACTACTTTATCACCAGTTCCAATGAATCCCTAAAAATCTCCACGTAATAACCTCCAAACATTAGATCATACTAAAACAGGCATTCTGAACTCCGGTATAGAGTCATCCTCTAATACCGAGCTTCCTTCCATCTCCACATCACCTCGTGCCTTTTCACTCGCAGAAAGACCTTTCTGCTTAATCGTCTTCCACTCCCCACTCTGAGGGTTGTATTCGAGAAGATATACAGCCTGTGTATTGCTCTCATTGTATTCGAAGGCAATCTCCAAATCAGGCTCGCCGTAATGCCCCATAAACTCGAGCTTGAACTTTAATTCCAACGGGGACTCTAAGCCAGTACGGAAGTTGAACACAAACGGCTCGGACCGAACTATACGTCGGTTGTATTTCAGTTTGACGGATTTAAGGAACGTAGCGGGGGTTAGATCCACATCAACACCGTAGACTGTCAACCGCGGCTTATCTTGCTTCATCTCCACATCGATAACTACACGGCGACGAAGAATAAACGTCGGAATAGAAAGATTGAGTTTCTCCATGACGCGGATCATCAAGTCATCAGACTTGGCATAAATGCGCATAGTTGAAAGGTAATCTAGCGGTGTCTCTTGAAGGTTGCAGATGGCAAGTTTAGCACTTTTCTTTTTACCTACAATTTCGGGTATTGTGCAGGCTGGGGGTATCGTGATAGAGGACCCGAGGACAAGGCAAAGATCAGATTTTTTGGCGTTGTCTTCTGCGTTTTGGAGAGGCGCTTCGGGTAGAAAGTCGCCGAAGTTGACGATGCTGTCCAGCAGCACTCCGCCACAAAGGGCACATTTCCGCCCAGTGCGGTGATCGTGGACCGTCTTCTCGTAGGTTGCTACGGCGCGGAAGTCTCTTGGGTGTGAGCGTAATCTTATAATGATTCTTGAGAAGGCGACACTCACCCCGAAGGTACTCTTTCCCGCAGTCTTTGCAAGACTCAATATTGCTGTTACCGTGAAGCTCTGAAATGTGGGCCTAGATTTTGAAAGGCACTCATTAGATTGAAAGCCTTTGAAATCAATAAAAATAGGGCACCCACCGGCAACATCCCGCTCTTCCTGTGCAACCCGTCACAATTCTGGCTGACAAGGTACTTGAGGAAACCTTGATTTTGCAGCTCTATAAGCGCCATATGTGTAGGCGTCGGTATAGCTTGCAGCGTACTAACAACTTTCCCAGTTCGCTGTCTTCCTTGAGCTAGAAGCGTCCAGGCACCATCCGGGCCTCGAAAGTCAGGAATGCCTGGAACGGGAGTCAGCTAACTATATCAAACTATTCGTGATATTTCTGGGGCTGTAAACTAACCTGCTGACGTGGAGATGCCAGCACCGGTGAAAACAATGAAGTGTTTGCTTTTCTTTATCTGGTTTGCAAGTGTCTGGGCTTTTCGATCGATCACATCCGGCGCTTCGATGCGCTCTTCAGCGGCAACTTTGGGAGCGGAGTCGGCCATGGCGATACTCAATAGCTGTAGAAAAACTCTCACCGGGTTCTAGGACAGATAAACAACGTGAAGCAGGACCTGTGTAATATACGCAAGTGAAAGTTTATAGGCTGTTACCTGTTACCTGCTGATGCATATACACTGCGGAAGGAAGTTTGTCCGTGCCGCACGCTAGACGAATTTGGTCGTCCCAACAGCCTATATGTAACGTGAACATGAACATGAAAATGGCATGATCGAGTTTGTCTTTAGGCTAAAGGCGCTCTAGTATCTGCAGAGCGCGTGGCATTGAAATTCGTCAGTCCTTTCATAATTTCTCATACTGTTCCACGTGACCATGGATCCTAAAGCCTTCGCATTCTCGGGCTGGAAATGGCTTGCAAAAAATTTGATTGCCTCTAAAGAGAATTTTAGATGTAGACTAGGTGTTCATTCTATAATATATTTTAGAATTATATACCTACCTCTTAGTCTTATACTGACAGCTGTAGTAGTTGGCTATTAACATTTACTAGTTGGACGAAAGCGGTTATTAGCAGATATAGGAAGCTGAAGTCGCTTGGTGTGTCTCGAGCAAAAAAAAAGGGATATAATCACTTTTATCAAGCTGTTGAAATGGGTGAAGAGAATGGATGGCACTTACGAATCGACCCATTTGAGAAAGAGAACGGACATCGAATTTGGCTGCTGCGAGAGAGATGCTGAAGTTAGCAGAGCCACTCGATGAGAAGACTTGTTTTAACCAAGTTGGTTAAGAGCGCAGTATCTAAATACTGGCAGGGTTATAGCACAGTGTCGTAACACTGGCGAAAGGCACTCTAGGAGTGACTACCAAGGCTTTTCGAGCGAAATATTGCAGATGTACACCGTGCATGGCAATTTTTAAACGTCTTCGATTGACGAGGTGAGTTGGCGGGTTTGAGCTCTTTGAAAGATGTTAGTAATGCATCTCTGTTAGAACAATCGAGTCTCGACAGCTTGACTAAAGTGATTTTTGATCTAACAAAGAGTCATCTTGAACTTTACACCTACGCTTTTACCTTTTTGGCGTGCGGTGAGAGCCGATTTAATCCCTTTTAGGATAAAATAAATTTCACCAACACAACTCTTAGGCAGACAATGGACATACACCTTGATATAAATAAGAAGACTGCCGAGAACTAGAAACGGTGGAACGAGCTTAACTTTTAACAAGTAGTCACAGTCTGTGTAGATAAAGACAACGAGCTTGGAAAGGCCGAAGAACAATTATGGAAATATTCTTCATTGTAATAACGCCAATCAAAACCCAAGACTATTGCTGCTGCCTATCATTATCTTCTCCTCGGTCCCTCTCTTCAACCTGAACCTCCTCAATCTTTGGCGAGAACATATCATCAAAACTCTTCAGCATCTGGTCACAAATGCTAACACCCTCCTCGACCCCCCCAGTCTCTTTATCTCCCCAATCCGCAAACTGCACCTTGTCTTCACAAGCCATATCAACCATAATACTCCAAACAGTCATCTCCAAATCCTCGCCAAACGTCTTCTCGCTCTCTACTCCGGGGCCCCACACCCTCTCAGTCCGTTGGATGTATTTAGGATTCAACTTCGGGGGCCAAGATGCATGGACAAAGAAGGGAGTTGCAGGAGGTGCTTTCTCATCTCGGTTAGGGTTTTCAAGGCTAACAGTCCAGTCTTCCGCAAGGTTGCTTTGAAGAACCGGTGGCCCTTGACCGGCTCCGCCAAACGGGCTAGGTCTCTCGGAGACAGTGTAGAAGGCGTTGTTGAGGACCAAGGCAGCTGCAGCGAAGGTCTCCTTGTCTCCTTCTCCAGCACCACCCTGGGACAGCAGCCGATAGAAATACTTATCGCCATACGCATTATAATACGCTGCGAGCGCTAATGTATCGGCGTGCTTTTTCTTATCGACAAGCAACTGCCCAGCCTCGATCGTAGGTCGATCTTGCAGGGCATTTTCGGCCAGCCCGGTTATCTGGTTGAAGAATGGCGATGAGGTGCATAGCCAGTAGTCAGGCCAGAGCGCCATGCCCCTCTCTCTATACACTTCTGCCTCGAAAAGATCCTCGGGCTTATAAACGGGGAAGTTGTCCGCATCCAGAAACAGGATTTCTTCGAACGAAGAGAAGAGCAGAGCAAAGCTTTTGAGCTGGTAATGTTCGAAATTGAACACTATCTTGGATGTTGCAACAAGCTCACTCAATATAACACATTTGGCGCCTAATTCCTTGAACAGCACTTCGCAGGCCAACTCCTCGTATTCTTCCTTGTTCTTTAGGAATATCTCCACAGGCAACGTAGAACCCGTGCGTCGCAGCATCCGCAAGCTAACAAGCAAGACAGGGAAGTACTTCCCTCCTCCGGACGTCACTATCCCCTTGGTATCCGATGTGTATGGTAATGTTGGGGGGCTGAACTGCATCTGAGTTAAAAACCATTCGTGTGCGCCTTTCATAGAAGCAATATCCGATTCGCCCCATTGCAGAACATTGCCCTGGCGCTCATAGTCCTCTCCTGGAACCCCCCGGAGGCGCGTGAATACCTCTCCGGTGACTTCTGGGGGTTGCACTCGCGGTGCTGCTGCTGCCAAGAGCGGCGCAAAGGAGGGCCAGAAACCGCCGTCGGATTCGAATGTTGATGCTGGCTGTGAAGTTAAAACTGTTTGGGATGTGCTGAAAGAGGGTATAAAGGAATCCGTGTCTGCCGGGATGTAGTATTGGAACACGAGAGCCAAAGTTAAAAGTAGGATGAGGGGGGTAAAGAACGGTATACGACGTGAGGTAAGGAATATACGCCGTGAGTGAGCAAACGCAGTCATTTTTTCAATGGTGAAGTCCCGAAGGTGAAAGAAAGTCAGTGGCCTAGGAAGGAGGATGTGTTCATTATGTATGATCTAGGAAAAGCTTATGCATATTCGTTGATAGGAGACGAAGAAGGCAGCATTCATGGCATGCATGGAGCTAATCATATCAATCAACCTTGGCATCAATCTTTACTTTCTTAGTATATCTATCTCAGTGAACGCTTAAGGACGGGCTGTGTTTGCTAATCTTCGCTCACAGCAAACCGCTTATTGCAGGGAGATATTAGTTTGCGTTCCACCCAGGGGCCAGAATCCGGATCAATTAGGGTTCTATCAAACGTATAGACAAGGTGTCGTAACCCAAACTGCCTCTTTCCATAATACATGAGGCTTCTATGGATTCCAGCAGCCGAAAGTGCTCACATTATAATATACAGACAGTTTCAATGGCAGCTTGTCCTCTAAATAAGGTACACAGAAATATTTCAGCCATGAGGTACCAAGCCAAGCAATGTACCTGGAAAACTCGTTTAAACAAGACTTTAAAGTGGGTGTAGTCTCCTTGGCTAAGCTCGTATACGATATAGTATGATTAACGCTGACTTAAGGCGAAATGAAGCGACGCTAACGGAGAATTACCACTCTTCATTCGGGACGCTAAATATGAAGCTGCTGCCTTAAAAGCTTGTTACTCTCCGTAGAGACCTAAGGTAGCCTAGGTACGAAGTATAATGCAACCAATTGTTTGTTCAACCCATGGATATGTAGGTACTGTAGATCTCAGTCGCATACTTCGTACTTCGTACTCCGTACCGCAGTACGAAGTACGGAGGAGGCTCCGAGCCATTTAAACTTCGCTCAATGACATCACTCCATGCTATTCATTCCCAAGGCCAAGCTCAATTCAAACCCCCTATCCGTAGAACAATACATCTATTTCCTTCCCACCAACGCCTAATTTCACACCCCCTTTATCAGAAAAGCATACCCCGTAAAAATAAGAAAGGCCTACTGAAAACAATCGATTAAGTTCCTTCAATTCAATTCATTAATTTAAACATGAATATCAATGAAGTATTAAAAATCCCATCAATGCCTATTACTTACCAATACCAAGGAAATCAATCTGGAAGCCAGCCCAGCCTAGCTATCGACCTCGGCTGATCGGCCATTCAATACGAGCTCCGGAACACGAATACTCTATGGTGTGGTATGCGCAGAAGCAGATGATGTGAGAAACAGGATATAGGTAAGCACTGCACTTCTCATAAAGTCCTCACTATCATTTACCAGGCGTAATAAACCCTCCAACAGTGGGTGGGTAGGGGGTGTTGTTGTGCTAGGTGGTTTCTATGGCAGGGCAGCTCCTATCAGCGGAACCCCTCCCCTGCCTTCACACCCCTGCTGGAGGGTTTATTACGCCTGGGACGAAGTATAAAACCGTGTCTCCCAGATTTTGATCCGGTTGTTTGCGTTTTGCCTCCCATTTACTTAGATACACCCGCTCGACCTCAACCGCGCCCTTGCTTTCGCTTCCCCTGAAAATGCTGTCCCGCCCTTCCCCGCCGAGAAACTATCGCTTAATTTGTAGTTGCGGAGTAAGTTGCCGTCGCCTAGGCTGATATTTTTACCTACTTCCTTTATTTTCAAAGTCAAGTCACTAGATATAGTACAGTCTATATATCATGAATACTTTCTTGCATTGATTATGATTCATGTTCCTTTACTCCTCCCTCCCTCACCATCAACCACTAACTACATCCATCCACCTCACCTCCCCACGCCCCTTCAGTGCTAGTTCACTGAAGATCCGAACTTTACTACATAAAATCCCCAATGCGAAATCTCTCAAAATGAAAACTGCTTGCTTGCATGCGTGCACGCTTTTGCTCTCTGAGCAGGGAGGGCTATTGCAGCCATAACTGTAGAAGCGCCGCCGCCGATGCTTGTTTATGAAGACAGAAAAGAAAAACTAAGGTCAACCAAAAATAGAAAAGATCCGGGTATGTACAAAATGCAGACTGAGCTGCATGTTTCGATTATGAGGTCCACAGATTGGCACTCCGACGACCCACGTCTCGTCTCCGCTGCGAAGTGTTCTTTGTGCCTAAAGTTCCATTCCCCACATTAACGCTGAAGCCCAAAAGATTGACCGTGTTCCCACTGCCTAAGCTGACGTTCATGGCTGCATTGGTGGTGAAGGTATCTGATTGCGTGAAGAATTTCTGTAGTGCTGTCTGAGCCGATTCTGCACTTTCGAGTTCCTCCTGTTGCAGGACGTATAATACAACAACACGAGCAAAGTCCATGACCTCTTCCGTGACGGTGAAGGTTGAAGTTGAACTGGCCGAGGGGGTTGCTGATGTTGCAGAGCCAGTACTCGAGGAAGCGGTCGCCGTACTATCGTAGATGATGCCATTAGAGGTTGATGTACTTTGGGGCGAACTTCTACGCCTATGCTTGTGATTGTCTCGCACTTTGTTCTGAGAAGAAGCGGTGGCAGAAGCCGATGTCGAGGTAGGTGTTACAGCATCGTTGGCTTGGTTGACTCGTTGGGATTGACCATCAAATGTAACCAAGGCATTCTCAGACGAACACGATAGGCTGGCAGAGTTGAACCGTGCCAGGATTGTGTTTGCCGAAAGAGGTATCGAGAAATTCGTCTGGGCACCCGAGATCAGACGAGCCAGAGAGTCTCCGACGGTGACATTGTTCAGATTGGATCCGGAAAGGGTTGTTGTTACGCAACCTACTGAGCCAGCAATAGAGCAAGTTGAGCCGGTAAAGCCATTTGTACATATACACGCACACGAACCGTTGTCATCATATGATGACCCTCCATTTTGGCAAGCTGTAGTTGTGTTTGCTTCACACTTTTGAACGGGCGTCAAGGCTGCCGAAGCAGTTTTAGTTTTGTGGATGACCAAGAATTCGAGAGGAATGACGACTGCTGCAGCAATAATGATTAAGAGTATTAAGACGACAAGGAAGAAACCCCAGCATGGAAGTCCGCAGCAACGACTACGCTTCTTCTCTCTTGGCTGGCCATTTGAATCGAGATGTCCGTCGGATGCGGGGTACGGCGAGGGCCAAGACGACATGGGACGTGGAGTACCGTCTCTTGGTGTTGCTACGCCTGGTGGTGGAAAAGCCGCAAGCATACCAGAAAGACCAGAACGGCGCTTCTCATTGCCAGACGCTGAATTGATGATTAGCCAAGCACAAAAAGTAACGGAAACAGAGACTCACAATGTAAGTCACGATCTTTCGTATCGCCGGTCATGGGGAAATCATTAAGATCATTAAGCCGGCTACCTGGTCGCCTTCCACGGTCCATCAATGCTGCCAGTCGGGTTGCTCGTCGAATAAGATCCGGAAGACTTGTCAGACTGCCTCTTGCTTCAGCATCTCGAACAGCGTCGATATCAAGACGAGGTGGTCTGCGAATGGCGGAAAGCCTGCTGAATCCTGGACTTGGAGTTCTGATCGGGTTTGGCGCTGACGGCTGTAGCGAACTCGCAGCATTGTACGCTCCTAAAATTTGACTCGCCCTTCGCTCTATAGGCGATTCAATTCCCATCGCCCGCTCTACTGTAGCGTCCCTGGCCACTGTAGGCATTGATTCTTCTGAAGATGACCCCTCAATGAACCCCGTTCCGCTTGCGAGAGCCGAGTCTGGGTTCCCTACCATTGGCCATCTTGTTTCCCGCTGTGATTCTTTCCTCTGAAGAGGCGCCAGTGCTCCTCCTAGACCACTATCTCTTACACCCGTTTTCACCATGTTCGATGGCTGCTGGTTTTGCTGTTGAACTAGAGCCGGTCGATGTTGTTCGAAGCTTTTAGTTGTAATCATGGATGGTTTTGCTCGTTTCCCCAGACTAGCACTACGTATTAATCCCCGGTCCTCATTGTCATCCACATTAGATTCCCTCGACTCGCCCCTCTCCTCAATTACATCGTGTCCAAATCCTCGTTCCGTGATATCATCGTCATCGTCTTCCTCATCATACGGATAACCTGGTGAGTCCGATCCCCAACTCGATGGTATGGCAGCACTTGAAGCGTAGGACCCATGAGAAGCATGTGTTCTGGGACTCTCCTCCGGAATTGGCGATACGAATGATGCTTGGGAGTAGTAGGATGAAGCTCCCCGCCGCGAAAGTGGTGGAGGTCCAAGTCCGCTCCTTTTTGGTGCAGCTGCTGGTGGTGGCGGCATGGGCACAGGGAAGTCTGGTATTGTTCCCACGGATGAGACGGTAGAAGGTCGTGACGATTGTGTCATTGGTGACGTGAGGATGGGCGAGTCAGCGTCCTCTTCTCCAACCCTCAATCCTCTTCCCAGGCTTCTTTCCGGTGGTGAATTTTGCGGTTGATATTGAAATGAAGGTGTGTGCTCCTGTAGCCGCGACGCATCCAGCATCGAAGGTACATGGCTGGGACGCGGTGGTCGCTGAGGGGGTATGCTTCGACCCGGTGGCGGTTGATATTGCTGATTACCACGGGTATCTGGCCCTTCTATTGTCCCTGCTAACGGCCATTGGGGAACTTGAGTAGGTCTAGAGATAGCCACACCAATTGGACCCTGTCCACCTTTTGATGTTGCCAGTGCTGGTGGCATTTGAGGCCTCGATCTATTCATTGACGGCTCTGGCGCGGCTCGAGATGGGACAAAAGACCTTTGCTGTGGCTGTTGCGGTGGTGGCGCTGATCTCTCTGGTGCAAGGCCTGCTTCCATCCGCTGCCTCGCCCTTTTCACAGACCCTCCTCCCCGTCCAAACGTCGAGGACGGTTGTTGCCATTGCTGGTCACTCATTTATGCGAACTGTCGATGTCGTCTCGGGAACAATTGATGTCGGATCCCGAAGGATATATGGAATCCACGAAAGCCGGGCCCGTGACCAATCCAACTGTCTGGTACTGTAGTTATCGCGTTTGCATATGCATGGAGCCGTCGAAATAGTGGATTGGCTATATGTCCGTAGCCGAATTGTTGCGTGTGGAAGCTGGGATGGTCGCTGAGAATTTTTGGATACACAAGTGGCGACCTCTTACTGTATTTGGGGAAATAGCCCGGGTATATTGAATGGAGCTTTCTAAATTGAAGGGATGCGTTGTGAATGAATGAACTTGAAAAGTGAATATATGATGAAGTAGTCGAACCTCGTCGAAAGGGATGTCTGGAAATGAGCGTGGTAGGTCGCTAGGACCTGGGGCTGAAGAATAGACTAAAGTCGATGTCTTAATAGGTGAAGGTAGAGGCAAATGTTGCACTCGCATTTCAGAAGCCGGTTGGGAGAAGTCGAATGGTCCGTCTAGGCGTGATCATAGATGTGCGATGCGTCTACACCCCCAACTCAACTCGAACGTACCAACTGCACCAAGAAGATAATTAGCAATTGACCAGCAACGCAAATGATGTGAGTTATAAAAGAAGAGCAATAAGGAAGCAACGATTTGGGATCAAGAAGACGAGCATCTGAGTGTTCTCACGAACGAACGACTGCAAGGGAGCCACGCGAATTCGAGCCCTGGTAAATGTCGCAAGAGGGAGTTCCCCAAACGGGGTACCAAAGATAAGACCCATGTGCTCGATGACGGGCAGCCTCGCGGAAGCTGTGTTACAGTCGAGTACCTAGGTACCTGGACTTCCACGGTATACGGCAGGGCCAGTGCTCAATCTTCCAGGTACAGTAAGTACATTCCAGTCGAGAACAGTACTGTAGAGTACAGTATACCAGACCAGAAAATGGGAAATGGGTGTCGGGACATATGAAATCAACCACGAACACTTAATGTTTCAGCGCCTGTGCAACTCTATCATGCGATGCCCACCTGTTTCTAGTCCGTCCCTCACTATGTAAGAACCCAGCCCAAACGAAATGATGTGCAACCCCGTTGTCGTGTTTAAAACGTCGTGTACAGTATTCTTCGTCCGGAACCCTTCAAACTCCAGGATGAACGGGATGTTCGTGGGACTTTGTCTTCTCGAAAAGGCTTGTTTCCGGGACAGGAACGTGGGAAAGGGAAAGCTCTCGAAGCTGCGTGGTAAGGGATGCGAATACCTCGTGGTATGTGTATTGAATGAATGCTGGAAGGCAAGTTTTGGCCGTGTGTGCGCAAGAAAGTAAGAAGAGCCTCGAGCCTTCGGATGTTGGGAGATCAAGCAGCGATCAAGCGTCTGCGGGTGTGAATTGAATCTGCGGTGCGATATTTTAGATAGATATCGTTGATGTCGTCGTGGTCGTCGTCGTTCCTGCCCTCCTTCTCTGCTGCCACTGCTCCGTTCAACAGTTCAGTTCAATTCAGTCTACACAACGTACCGTACAGTGAGAAGAAGAAGAAGAGGTCGAAACCAGACCAAAATACTTCACCATCGCAGGATGCGGATAGCGTCAGGTCAGGAAATGACTTGATTACTGCGGTGATTGGCCTGCGGGCAAGAATAAAGTGCTGGACCTTGTCTCCGGCCCTGCGAGTGGTCAGCGGCCTTCGTATTCTGTGTCTGGCCCAGCTGCCTCGCCCTTCAATCTGCTCTGAATGCTCAGTGCCTGGGTCTACTGCACATGCACCCCTGGCCATCGAGGGGGTGGAATGGGGGGCTGGGGTGTTAAACGGAAACACGCTATCAAAGGAGATCCACCCCAAGAAGCTCGCCAATGACAAGGCTTGAGGGGAAGCTCGAGGGAAGCCAGCAACGGGTACCATCGTGGTAGTACTCCGGAGTAGTGTTCTTTGGGATATACAGTCCAGTACAGTTCTCTCCCACTGTACACGATCTGGAATGTGCTCCGTGATGTACTAGGATACTACAGTACTAGGCCGCTCAAGCCCAGCGCAGCCAAAACGGCGCCGTCGCAGAAGCCGTTGACTGGTTCTCAGCCTCGACCTCACGCCGTATCTTCTCAGCTTGTTGCCCACCTACGCTTCATAAGTTCACATATATGTAAGTTCAGACTCCTCTCCTCTCCTCTCCAGCTCGAGAGAGAAAGACCAGAGAAGAGAGAAACGAAAGACTTGGTCAAATGATTTATCAGCTGCGAGTTGTGTTCAGGCATTCCTGACCTGCCTTCCTGTGTGCTGTGTTTCACGTTGACATGGGCATGCACGTCCGAGTCCGTTTTTCGGTTCGCGCAAACTCTCGCCAGTCGCGATGCCGAGTACTCGTACTGTACTCATCAGAAAGCAAATCCAGCCAGCTTCAATTGAGTCTTTCGTTGGATCTCTACTCTTCTTGTTATTTTTAGCTAGCTACCTACCTGTATGTCGCAACATCAGTGGTTTTCCCAGGTCTTCGCGGAGGCTTGGAAGACAAGCCCCCACCAAGTCGAGATGATAAATTCTCCGAGATGGTGAGACTATTCTATTTCCAAAGTTCGAGATCTGTCCCGTGTCGTCTCATCTCGGTCGGCCTTGCTTTCTTCGGGTGTCTTGGCTCAGATTTAGTTTCAGGGTCCACGATCCAGCAAACGGCTACTCATGATCAAATTTCACCAAACCTAGGTACAGTACTGTACCTAATCAAACCCAACCACCAGGGCGCGCTCGAGTATTCCTTCCTTCCTTTCTTGTGAGTCGTGGCCTGCCCACTATATTAATAAACTGTAGGAAATAAAATTACATCTCATTAACTTATAAAGGTCACCATGTTGTGATCCCCGATTTTGCCGCACTTCCATATTGCTGCTTGCTGCTTGCTGACCGTCCCGGATATCGCTGAAATTACTCCCGCTATGCATGATCGCGATCGAAGGATCAAATGGAAGGAGCGGCATATTCCCTCGGTTACCGTGGGTTCGGCTCGCCATTCTTGTCAAGAAAGTTATTCTTGTCCCCTTAGTCTCTGGTATTTTATGTTCTCTTGTCAATTTCGGAAAGTTCCAACTTGAATTTCAACTGGCACCACAAGATGAGATTATTGGCAGCTCCGAAGCTTTTGGATGAGAAAAAGAACGCCTGAATTGCACAGGCGTGAAAATGGTCTGTTAGCAATGATTCTACATCTTCATTCAAGAATTGAAAGTTGAGTTTGTATTCCATGATACTATTCCAATCGTTGATTGGGTTTCTTCTCCGCGTCCTTTAATACTTTCCTAAACCTTTTTACCTTCCTGGATTCACATCCAGTTGTTTGGAAGAGGATTATGTACGGTACCTCCGAAAGCTTCTCAGCGGAGGTGAGCCAGCGTCAGAGAATACTATAAACCCGAAAGGTGGCATTCATGTCTTCGATGACCTTGTTGCAATAGTTGTTCTCCATTTTAAACATCACGGCCCTAATACCAACGAGAAACCTCAGTCAGATGGAACCCCCTATTTGACTTCCGATCCCGCTGCGTTCTATGGACTAACACGGGATATCTGCCTTTTCGACAACACGGTCGGCATCGTTTACCTATACACGGATAGCTAATCACCGGCAGACAAAGACCTTTTCTCACGCGTCGGCGTGTGCATGTATGCCTGCTGCGCGAAATAAGAGAAGTACTTAGGTAATTATCGTCGTCGTGGCAAGGCTGAAGATCTGAAAATTCCAAGCCCGAGGTTCCGTATCACCACCCCATTGCAAACTAGCATACCTTCAGCTCCTCAACATGGCGATGGGAAAGGGGTTGAAGATGTAGCAGGACGTTCGGGGATACGCAGCCGCTGAGAAAGGGCATTGCGTTCTGCTGGGGAAAAATAGAGACTGTGTGCAGCTCTGCGATTCTGGAAAGACTGACACGGGAATAACAGGGTATTGTGAGGCTGTTTCTAGCACATGACCTGCTACCAGCTCTTGGAATTGTATTTCGGGATGTGGCTTTGTACAGCTGGGAATACTGTAGTTGATAGTATTCTTCAAAGTGTAGAGTACCAATGATTTTGCTTTTTCATATCGAATGCTGAGCACGGAAAGTTTACCACGATTTAGCTCATTTGTCATGGATTGGTAATTCAATAATGCAATTACTCTGTTTATATTGTTTCGGGATATATATAGAAGTCTTGTCAATCGCCTCAGCCTCGCACTAGTTCTAGTCGGGTTCAGCCTCGCTGTAACTCAACGATACGGATCAATATCTGCTTGTTTTTGCCAGTTGCAACTCCACCATAATCACCTCCGTTCATGAATTCATCATGGCAGGAGTCATACGTACAGAGGTTGCAGACAAACCTGCTATCAAGCCATTGAAACCTTCGCAGGAACGCATCGTCGGGAACACGCCCTTCCTCGAGTACGTCCAAATCCCCTAAGCGCCCACCATACTCCATTGCTGACCCTCTCACAGCAAGCTAGAGACCGACATGGTTGACATACTTGTCGGCCCTAAGAAGAAGCTATTCCGAGTTCACAAAACCTACCTCTGCCGACGCATCCCATACTTCGACAAGATGTTCAACGGCGTGTTCAAAGAGGCGGGCGGGGTCGCCGAGTTGCCAGAGGACGACCCGGCCGCATTCGACCTGCTCATGGAATGGACATATTGCCCGAATCCTCGACGACTGAGAGATTTAATTCCAATCACCGACTCTGACAAGGTATCTCGCGCATCGTGGGACGTGGTCGCTTTCTACACACTCGCCAGGAAGCTCTGCCTCCCGGACCTCCAAGATATCATCATGAATTCCATGATCCGGTATCACAAAAGATGCAATGTAAGGACTCCATGTTGCAAAAGAATACAATGCGTATTCATCCTAATACACACGTGTAGGAGCTACCCTCCATCGACTTTGTAAGTCGAGCCTGGGTGCAGGCAGGAGAAGATTCCAGACTGTGCGACTACTGCCTTCAAAGCATCCAATGGGTCCTAGCGCCTGACGCAGAACAGGGCGTCAAGTCGAAATGGCCAACAAACGAAGTAGTAAAGCTGTTCCAGGACCATCCTAGCTTCAACAATGCATACATCAATCTGAGCCGCAGTGATGCGCCGGAGGATCCCCGTGAGATTGAGAGCCTGTGCTATTTCCACGCCCATGGCGCTGATGAGGAGTGTCCGCCCAACTACAGGAAGAGGAAGAATTCGGAGCTTGAGACTTCAGAGGGGCAGGTCCTGAAGCGAGCAAAGGGGGGACATTCTTCTGCTTAAACGGACGCAACTGGGAAATTTTGGGAACACTGGTGCATGGTGGTGATATGGAGTTGGCTTTGCTTTTAGCGCTACATCTAGCAATGGTGCTTTCTTTTATTGCATCCGGGTATCTTGCTTTGTTACATTGGAGTTCGAGCCCTTCAAATGTGTGGGACTTTATAATGATGCAGACTCTATGGCAAAAGAATCCACAAAGCTTTTGCTATATGGGAGTTATGCATGCTCCTGTGATCCAAACGGACAATGCCCTAAATATTAATAACTGCCAACACTAGCATTTCATCCATCCATCCTCACGAAACGTCAAGTTTACAAAGTAAACATTAGTACGCACTCTTTCCCCGAATCTAATTAATGGTTTAAGACTGACAGCTCCCAGACATTAATCGAACATCTTGATCGGCCCAAGAACGATAACGTCAACTACACAAATATGGCCGTGGCTGAATAACCACTTCGGGGGTGTATAGGTATACATCGGCTCTCATAATCGACTACGCCCGTGGTTTTCAACGTTGGAAGCAGACAAACCTTGCACTTGATGTGGATCAAGCATTCAGATTCTTCGAAGTTCCCAAGTATTCGCAAATGTTCTTCGACACGGGCGGGCCCTTCTCGAAGGAAAATTACTTCTCGATTCGGAGTAGGAGAGAGTATGAAAGGTTGAGGTTCATGGCATCGCAAGTCGATGCAAGCTAATAGCTAGATAGGCCGTGGTGGGTTGGGCGAAGTTGTTGTTGATTCTGGGGTAAAAGGTACATGGTACCCCGCGAATGCAGGTATGAAATATTAATGCCATTTTTGGTTTCGGGGGAACTAGTGAAAACATCCGATCAATCAGAAGTTACTACTTGGGAGCTGCGGTGGTGTGCCATTTGAGCAGAATCCCATTCCTTTCCCGAGGTGAGTTTGAGACACAGCCAAGAAAGATAGTGTGATATACAGAAAATGATGCTCTTAGCAAGTCTGTCTTTAACACCACGACTACGAGTAGATGCGGAGCCTCCACTTGGAAATGTTAGGACAGTCCTGGGTAGGGACGTAGAGGAAGCGAACTATATTCACCGCCATAGAGAGGACACGAAAAAGGAGGTCAGGGCACGTGATTTTAACACGACGTTATTCACCCATGGTTGGAGCTTGAACAAGTCGATAATTCACCTTGGCAATAGAAGCCATCTTCCTCCATTTTTTCTAATAGATTGTTGCCATCGCCCTTTCAACCCTACAATACCAATCTACAAAACACTTGCTGTTCCTCCGTCCAAGATGTCTACTCCTGCCACAACTTCGCCGTCATTGCGACAAGAGCTCGGTAAGTGTTGACATCTACCCCAGAGGTCTCATGCAAGAAGAGAATACATTCTGACCAAGCTTCCAGGAACACTATCCAAGTTCCCCCGAGAAATCCGAGATAAAATCTATGGCCTCGTCCTAAATTTCAATACGCCAAACTACGCTCCTCCAGGCCATCCTCGTATCAGGCTCCTCCAAGTCTCGCACCGCATCCATGATGAAGCAGAGAAAGCTCTTTACAATATCAACGAGTTCAGTATCTTGATCGTCATAGATTCCTCGCCACACAATATATCCGTGATGGGAGCCCAGGGCTTTCGCATCTGTGTCGCACACCGCAACAACATCGTTCGTAATGGGCACCGCTCAAGGACATCTGATCCACTGCCTTCCTTGGAAATGTTGAAGCATATACAGAGCTGGGAGTTTATGACCGGTCCCTTGTCGAGAGAGGATATAATGCCAACTTTCGGTCAGTTATTCTTTGGACCCGAGCGTCCGACGTTTAAGTCCCTGTCAGCAGCTCTTGAGGAAGGATGTGATATAATATTATAAGGCAATCCGACCAAGTACACCAGCTCTATATTTTCCTCGAAACCACGGAGAATACTTCTAGCAGCTTGGATTTTCTCTTAGAGCCGGTCACCAAGCTAAGGAATATCAGAGAGATATCTGTCAGTGCTGTGACTACCTGCGAGGACTACTGCCTTGGTTGGCGCTTGAAAGCTAGCTATAGCGAATACTTGGCTAGGATTATGGCCCTCCCGCAGGCTGCCGACACATCGGACTATGTACCTGACGATGAGGATGAAGATACGATCTGGGAAGTTTCGGAAGTCTTCAACTCAGCTGACGGAACATTTATATAAAAAAGGCAGGACCAACGCCTAAAGAAAGCCTCAAGAGAAGACCAAGACAACGTGGAAGAGATGCAGATTGAGATGGCGGCTTTGAACGGCCAGTTGGTAGAATATTCGAGAGCCTCCTACTTGCATGGCGACCTAAATGATATCAATCAACCGTGTTCGCTAGATGATGTTTACCGTGAATGAGTCCAATCTTCCAAGCAATCCCCGGATATTCTTTTGGTATCTACCTCATATTCTCAAGCGTCCTTACAACTCCTTTCTTTGCTTCTGTGGTGCTAATGCTATAGTAGAAGCATAGAGTAAGAAGAAACAAAATGTGTAAGCTCGAGGCTATGAAAACGGAACTCCAAAGTCCTATGAAGGCCGAGCTGGCTGGCTCCATTTTGATTATAGTAAATAGTGCAGTGTTGACTAAAGTAAAAACGGTGTATCAAGACTTGTATCATATGTATCTTTTCTACTTCCGTCATCGAATATGGTCTGCAGATCGATGGCTCAGATTTGAAAATAACTTTGCCATACAAAGCTCGGGATATATATACCTCAATAAGTGATACTAAAATAACGTAACAGAAAACTAGGAATGGCTATCTTTAGGATCATACGAGTAATACTGGTGGTACACAACACTTTGCTCGCTGATCGTTGTTTGTTAGCGAGGCGAGAGAAAAGGGGGGAACCTACAACGCTTGTTTCAATCTGATTAAACCGAACGATCTTACGCCGAACAGCCCGAACCCACATACATGGTAACAACTAAATGGCGCAGCTAATAAGATACGAAGTATCAACTGCCGGAAGATGACATAGTTAATAATAAGCTAATAAAAAAGCTGCCGCCTGATACTTGAAAGTAGATGACTTGTCTGGTCGATTGAAGTTTCTTTATGCAGATACGAGTATTATAGTTGCCACGTCCATACTAGGTAGAAAGTTGTTGTACTATTATAACTTGGATTAACACTGAATACGAGTTTCAGTGGTTGTTCAAAGACTTGGCGGCAGCTCTTGATTGGCTGTAGCGGTGTTTGGCATTGACGGTGAACCCACGAGACTTGAATAGCTTCCTTGGATTCGCTGAGGTCGAAAGATGTACAAGTACTACCGAGGACTCCGAACTACTCCGTATTCGGACTCCATAGGGATCTTCGAAGTCGAGGAGATCTGCGCTTCTTTTCGCTTAGGGCAGTATGTTATATGCTGTTATGACGTTGAAATCACACTGACACGGGTTATCCCCGGCTACGGAGCCCTGAGGCTTCAGCGCGCAAGACCTTGCATAGCCCATTCGTTGCCCTGGGAGATCTACGGTCTTGGCTATTTCAGGCAATTGTCGAATTGTTATAAAGACCGAAGGTATTCCCTTACAAAGGCATCTTGATATCAAAGACTCAAATCTTTCGGATACATTCTCGTTTGCTACCACAGATAATATCATAATTTGCGGTGTGCGAACTTGTTTCAAGGAAATCAAACTCTTGGTATGCATTATATGAATCCGAAAATCAACTCCAACTTACCTCCTGCAGTATCATCTCAGCCACTCAACAAAATCCCCTTTTCAGACCTCATATATCAAGTAACACGGCCGTTACAATGATGTTCCAACCGATAATCGCAGCAGTAGCAATGGGCAGCATTGTCCATGCTACAAATACTTTATCCGTATTTTCTCCTGGCTCCTCGCTCCACGGCCAAGTAGTGGCTGCTTATGGCCAATCGTACTATTTTGGAATCACCACCTCCTCTTACTGTCCGGAATCAGTAAGCAGTTGCCCAACCGGAAACGAGACTGTATTTACCCCCGGTCTGGAAAGTTTAAGTGTAAGTGGCATCCCGTCTCACCGATAAAGGAAGTCGAAATTGACATACATATTCGTAGGTTGAGGTACCAGGTGGTGAAGCAAACTATGTGACGACTGATGGAAGACTTGGCTTCACGGCACCTCACAGCTCATCGACACCACCTGGTTCTGTTACACCCAACTTTGGTAACTGGACTTACCAGAATACTGGACCTATTGTCTACACTAGCTCTTACGACAATACCCTCATCTACACCTACGACAACACTCAAGGATCTGGTAAGTTTTACTCATACTACTACAAGTGAGACGCTGACTAACTGTTTATAGGGAGTGTTCTGGCATGCCCCTATGAGAACAACGGTACTGTTATTCAGCAACTTTACGTCAAGACCGACGGCTTTAACCGGACGGATTGTTCTGAGCTGGATGGCTTACTTCCAGCCACGTTTGTTGGCGACTATGGGGCTTGGGAATATGCTTAGATGATCAACATCTTGGGCACTGGGGTATCAATCAACTTCTCTCGTCAACAGAAGATGTTTTGACTGAGTTCACTCACGGGCAACCTAACCTTATGTGCCACCCATAGGATCGCACTCTACTGTCCTCATCATCTATCCCTATAGCAAGCAATCTAATACCAATCTTCTCACCCACCGTTTTTGGATCAGTCAGCAGCAAACCCCCCGCTCATAAACGTATCTCTCTTGCTGTATCTCGCAAACTCTCCCAATATCCCCCCAATATTCTCCTATCACACAGCAACTCAGTATCTTGCCAAATCTACAAACTCTCATATTGCTTCGCCCGCCGTCCGCATCTTTTCAACCTGATACCTATACTTGAACCCCACAGTCTCAAACTTCTGAACCTCATTCTCAACCCCCCTTGGCCGAATCTCAACTTTAACCAAGACTTGTTTTTTTTTTTTTGAGTAGTAGCGACTTTTCATGGATGGAGAAAGTCGCAAAACACTGGAATAGATAGAACAGTCCTCTTCTGCTTCTTTGTCTCGACTTCACGCAAGCAGCTATACTCACACTTCCTAGCTCGAATTTATAAACGTAATATTATTCTAAAACGCAGCACCTAAAAATGCCAATAACGCCTGGTTCCAGAGACAGGTTGGACTCGAAAAACGGGATATTTAGTCAGAAGATAACAAGAACAATTCGATATCCAGTAAGTAATTAGAATTGTTCATTATTCAACCAAGAGCTCCTACCGAATTGGTAGTACCGATTACATGCGATTAAAGAGAATCATTGAAGTGGTTAAGATCTGTATAGTAACAGCGGGAAAATCGCAGAAACTGCCACCAGATACGTTTCTCAAATTCCTAGCTTTATACTGTATCAATAATCGGTATAATTCTAACTCCTATAGTGTTTTACGCGGCCGTCTCCACAAGAAGCTTTATGCTTCTTGTGCTAGATAGAAAAAGCGGCACTCACTATGATTAACTTTTGATGTTCTACGCCACCTAGCACATTATAAATTAGTGCCGCTTTCTATGTTCACAGCGAAGGCTTCTTCATATTATAAAGACGGCCGGTAGCAGTTACATGTTACATTGGAAGTAACTAGCAGGGATCTTAGCTTCATTCTAACCAAAACTACTATGGACTCTACCTAGACAGATATAATATCTCCGACCCTCGTTACCCTTTCCGGCTAAAATTTCAACTATCTGACTAAAGATCTACATTCATATCATTCGCTCACACTTTCCTATTCTTTGCGTTTTGTTGTCATACTAAATCTAACGTCGACATGGTCGACTCCCGAGACACTGACACTTCTATTTCCGTCCTAGATGTAAATAATACTTTGAGGCCTATTATTACTAGGAAGGAGAAGGTCCTTAGAGCGATCAGCGGGGCCTTGTTTACCTCTTGGAATAGGGGGTACTCCTATGTGCAGTCCATTGCCACTGCCTATAGCCACAACTGGACGTCTACGTTTTACAACTCCAGCAGCAAAGCCGTTAAAGTGGGAAAACAAGAGGCCATTAATAAAACTAGACATCAGTTGCGGTCATGTGATAACAGCTCTGTTATTATTTGGAGGATTTCACCCTCGAAGAAGCCCTTAGCAACACAAACGGCATCTCCCCCATCTCCTGTTCAATCCAACCGTCCGCCTCCCCAGGAACTTCAACCTCAAAGACGTCAAGCTTCATCTTGATTTCGCATAGAGGCCCCAACAAGTCCCTCTGCCTTTTCGGTCCCCCAAGATTTATCAAGCCGCCCGGATGGTGGAATCTGACCTTGAGCTGCGAGAGCCCCTGCATACCAGCTATCAACTCACAGCATTGCTTCCACATATCCTCGGAGGTCCATAGGTGGCGGAGATCAAAGTTAAGGGATTTAATGCTGTTGAGATGCGCGGGTTGCATCCCATGGGCGAACATTAGGAGCGAGAGCGGGGTATCGAAGTCGAAGGTGTTTTGTATGTAAACGACCTTTGTTATCTCTTCATATCTGTTTGATTTCATTAGTCCCGGGAGTGGTAATGATATGTTCATCGGATAAAGAGAACTGGCACTACATTTGTTTGCATGTCAAGAAGAGCCCAATACCGCCATCAAACCAACCGTAGTATTGGTCGTCCATGATACGCAGTTGCCGGCATTTTCCTGACAAGCAGCTTTGATCCTCAGTTGCTCTACATCTCCGATACCCAGTAGCCGCTGGTTTCCACGAGGGACGCTGTTTTTGCAGAATGTGAAGTGTTTGGTTCTTGCCTACGACGTATCCGTATATCTGCTCGCGAATGTGGAGCGGGAGTAACAGAATCGGGAATACGGAGGGAGTTGTCTCTTGAGGCTGCAATGAAGCTGCTGGTACTGATTTTGGGCGGGATTTGGATACGGTACGTTTGAGTTTGGTTAGGAAAGATGTGGATGATCTTTTCGCTGAAGCTGTCCCGTCTAGTCGGTTCTTTACTGCCTTCCTGTTGGCCACGTGCTGCGAATCCTGGCCTGGTACTATTCTGAAGGGACTGTCGAATGTAAAACCCATGATGATTGCTTTACTGACGAGGGATGTTCTGCGATGAAAGGTCTAGGATAGTGGGATAGCAGTAGTATTTATCAGCTGATGAGGCTTTACTATAGGTACCTGTACGTACCATAGGGCTGATGGGGGAATAGCGCTACATACCACCTCATTGGGCTAGAAGGGGTGGCTGTGCAAGGGCAGTCTAGTGGGTGTGGCATTGCTTCGCTTAAACAGGGGGGGTACTGTATGTAGGGGGGTGTGAGATAACATCTATACAGTAACTTACTTGGGTACCTATAGCCTATAGGTAGGTAAGTAACCAACAATACCTGTAAATGATTGGTTGGCAATCATAAAGTATCTTCTCCCGTGACGTGCGTTGACTGATCCGTTGTTGTTACTTCAATTTGGTCCTAGAAGCTTCTCCTTCGTGTTATTTTAATGTGTTCATCTAGAAAAGTCAAAACCAAAGCCAAATACTTTCTCCGTCAAAGGCTTTCGTACAACCATTTTATTTTCTCTTCCAGAACGTTCATCGGCTACCAGAATTGCTATAATCAAATATCAATCATCAGCGTACTACAAATGAAGACGCTCAGCTGCCTCTGCCTCAAGGACCTCTATCCATGGCTTCACCATGGCGGATAGTTCTGGCTGCCACACCCGTTCATTTATGTTTTGTGTTTCTAACGCTCTTGGCGTTGGAGATGTTTGACGAGCCATATCGAGGTATTTGCAGAAATTAATCTGGTGCCTTTCAAGTTTGGCTTCCACAATGGTTATACCCAAGGTTGTTCGGTGACAAGGATGGGGAAGAGGATGGGAATGAGGATGAGGAAGAGGTTGATGGAAGTCTGAATGATATACCTGGACGTGGGATTCGTTCGGGACTGGAAATTTTCCTGAAATGGGAAGACTTTGCTGAATGGGAGCATCTACGAATATGCAAGCACCTAGAATGTCGGCACAGGAGACACTCATTACTGAGGTCGATCTCGTAGTAACAGGATGGTAAGAGGGCGAAGAAACAGATGTGCTGGGCATAGAGGTATTGACTTTGCAATTATATAGAGGCCCTGCAAAAAATTCATGGCCACATACTGTTGCGAGAAGTTCCCACCCGAGGTATCAGATTCCGAACGCCATTACGATGCATGATGTTGACCAAACTCCAGGTTTCAAATCCCCCTTCATAACTCTCTGGCGATTTTCCTCGCAAGTTTTCTCTGGTTGTCAATCGTCATAGCGTTCTCATCAACATCCTGAATTGCTCGTCCAATACCCAGTGTCCCCTTCAAACTCTTACTATCCACCCACACTCTCCCGTTCCTCCCAACAGCGATCTCAAAAGCCGCACCTTGCGCCCCCAATTCCTCCAACAACACCAGCCCTCCCTGATCTGCAGGTTTTGGCAACATCAGCCGCCTTGCCATACCGAGCGAGATATCGAACACCATCCCACCAGTCAATGGACCCAGACCCTCCGATTTCCCAGTGGAAGAAGAAACGCATTCAAGCTCGGGATCCATATGCTTGTTCGCCAGCGTCACCCGCGCATACACCAAGGCTCCGGGAGCAAGCTGCGGGCGCGTCTTTCGAGATGCACCTTCGAAGGAGAGGTTAGGGAGTGAAGCGTTCGGGGTATAGTCGCTGATGCTGGCGTAGTAGACCTCCGCGGACCCTTTCTGAATGGTGGCTATTACGAGGTCGCCAGCTGTGGGTGTATACTGGATTTCTGTCAGTCTTTTCGACCAGAGGGGATTTGGAAAAGCATACGCGACCACCGTTGAACTCAACCCAGACGGCATTCTTTTTCTTGTCTGTACATAGTTGGCCCGCTACTGTTGGAGTTATTGTGTTTGGTGGGATGTGCCGTAGCCCGGGCCCGAGTTTGAGCGGGAGTTTTGGGTGTGATGGTAGTGATTCAGGATCAAGTTCCTCACCAGGGAGGACAAAGCGCTCAATTGCCATGGTCAAGATGTTAATGTTATCAGATTATTTTGTCGTTCAGCCTTGCCGTAAGGTACCTTGGTAGTTGGTGGGGCTGGAAAGGCACATTTGGCGCTAGTGAAATTTTATTTTGGATGCTTCTTCGTTACAAGACTAGAACCAGAGCTAGAAGAATATGATCTAGGACCTCGAGATTTTCAAGACAGAAAGACAAAAACGCCCTTCCACTAGCTGTACATACGTCTACGGGTCTTCTCTGCTTCTTGGACTAAAATTCTTATACTGAAAAGATGTCCGCTGAGGAAGCCCCTGCGCAGGGCGCAACGCCCGGAGAGCGTATTGCCATTGGGATCTCATTCGGAAATTCCAACAGCAGCATTGCTGTGACTTCATTCGATGACAAAGCTGAGGTTATTGCAAATGAAGATGGAGGTATGTCAGCCCCGAATGAAGTATACGTCTACTAGGTGGAAATCTGACACTATTCCTAGATCGTCAAATCCCTACAATAATCTCTTACGTCGATGGGGAGGAGTACAACGGTCAGCAAGCAAAGCAACAGCTTATTCGGAATTACAAAAACACGGTCGCATACTTCAGAGACTACCTAGGACAAGAGTAAGACTTTATCCTTCCCTTTTCTTTGCCCTGCTGACCTCGATGCCAGCTTCAAGTCGATAGATCCTACCCACTCCCATTTCTCTGCCCACCCCAAAGAGCACGACTCGACAATCGCATTCACAATTCAAGACAAGGAAGAGGGCGAGCCATCCACTGTTACCGTCTCTGAAATTGCCACACGCCACCTGCGCCGTCTGAAACAATCTGCTAGCGATTATACTGGCAAGCAAGTCAATTCTGCAGTCATTACTATTCCCACAAACTTCAGCGAGAAGCAAAAAGCAGCCCTCACAAAGGCAGCAGCGGATGCCGGCTTGGAGGTATTGCAGCTCATCCACGAGCCAATCGCCGCGCTATTAGCATATGATGCCCGCCCAGAGAGCAAGGTCGCGGATAAAAATGTGGTTGTGGCAGATCTTGGTGGTACTCGATCAGATGTTGCAGTTATTGCATCGAGAGGAGGCATTTACACCATCTTGGCTACGGCACACGACTACGAATATGCTGGTGTTCAACTGGACAAGGTTCTGCAGGATCACTTTGCAAAGGATTTCATTAAATGGCACGGCACCGACCCTCGAGAAGATCAACGAAGCATGGCCAAGCTAAAGCTTGAGTCGGAGGCTACGAAAAAGGCACTGAGTATCGGCACAAATGCCAACTTCAGCGTGGAGAGTTTAGCTGAAGGCGCGGATTACGCATCAACCATTAACCGCCTCCGCTACGAGACAATTGCCCGCAAGGTCTTGGATGGATTCAACCGACTTATCGAGGGCGTTGTTGAGAAGGCCGGTCTCGACGTACTTGAGATCGACGAGGTCATCCTCTCTGGAGGAACCTCCCACACCCCCAAAATCGCAAAGAACTTCGCCGCTATCTTCCCCGAATCAACTACCATCCTCGCTCCCTCCACCACACCCACCGCCATCAACCCATCAGAACTCCAGGCCCGAGGAGCAGCGCTCCAAGCATCCCTGATCCAAGAGTACGAGACAGAAGATATCGATCAATCTACACACCCCGCCGTCACCACCGTCAAGCACCTCACCAACGCCGTCGGTGTCCTCTCCATCACCGGCGACGAGAGCAAAGGTATCTTCACGCCTATCCTCTCTGCTGAGACTGCCGTCCCCGCACGAAGAACGATCCACATCAATGTTCCTAAAGAGGGTGGTGATGTTCTTGTCAAGATCGTCGAAGGAGGATCACACATCAAGGTCACAAAGGAAGAGCCTGCAGAGACAAACGGCAACAAGGATGACAGCGATGAAGACAGCGACGACGAGCCCGAGGAACGCCGGGAAAAGATCTGGAAGGTCGGAAAGGTGCTGGCTGAGGCGAGTGTAAAGGATACAAAGAAGGGTGGCAAGGTCGAGGTTATGATTAACGTAGCTGGCGATTTGGCGGTCACTGTCACAGCAAGGGAAGTTGGTGCCAAAGGAGGCGTGCGAGGAACTTTAAGTGCCCCTTGATTATGTTGAGGAGGCAGGTAGGCTTTGAAAAGATAGATATTTGTTCCACTGTGCTTTTGGTGGATGGATGTTCGTTTTTAGAACGCGTTTCCACATGGGCTATGTATTGCGAATAGAATGCTAGACGTTGAAACTAGCTCGGAGGATGTTTTAGAGAAACGAAAAATGCATAGTATTGATCCTCCAGCCGTGTGTGGGGAAGTCAATTGTGGTGATGGTCTCTATGAGCGACAACGTTCCCGATGGGTTTGGTTGTGTTGCTATTTCGTTTGTTCTGGCTTCTATGCTTCTCTTCTCCCTTCAGTTGAACGAACACCCTTCTCCTCTGTAAGTCGTAGCGGCTGGCAGACGACGAAAACGAGCTTGATGATGTTCGCAGAGCTCTTCACATTTACAAGAGACGTCGTAGGACTCATGGATCATGGGCCATGGCGCCATTCTTGCCCATTCGTGCTCACCGGCCAGATCGCGTCAGACCATAGAGGAGCGTACCAGCATCATCCAGATCAAAGGGCGGGAGATCAGCACCAGGTTGGATGTCTGAAGTCTGGGTTTTGGTTCTGCCTGTCCTGCATTCCGGGTACCGGGGATTTGGTGAGAGGTTGTATTGGTTTTCGAGTACATGATGGATGAGGATATGGCCAATGTGATGACTGGCAAATGCTATCACCAGTACTATGAGAAAACCCAGGTCTGGAGTTACAAAAAGTACAAATTGTAATCTTACGGCCTCTAGAAGGAAACATCACATTCGAGGATTCTAGTGGTGTAGTATGATTCTTGTTTGGAATACAGTTTCCCATCGCCAGCTGGCTCCTGGGACATGGCGGATGGTTGAAACTGGCCGGATCCGAGGCTCATTTTCACTACCAACTTCCTCGAAGTATTGATACATTGCCCAGGTGATCTACCTACAAGTATCACTTCCTGGAAGAAGTCGAAAACACCCAGGTTGAAGATACTACCATCTTTCAAACATTGAACTACCGAAGGCTCTCTACCTACTAGGGAGGCATGTTTTTGACAGCCCAGGTCTCTCCCACCCGAAGGTCAACTACGTTCCAAGAATATCTTACGACGTCCATATCAATGTTCATGCGCGCCAATGCACCCGATTATAACCATTCATATACATTCGACTTGGCCACGCGCGAGATGTTTCCGATTTCATACCAAAGGACCATTGCTGAACGGCTAATTAGAGTCACATCTGAGGTGACATAACATACGTTTAAGCTTTCGACGCTTACGAAGCAAGACCGATTGTGAAAATTCTGCCGGAGAATCTGGGGAGTACTTGCATATACAAAGTGTTGGGTATTGTATACCACGTTGTTGTGGAGTCACGCACCTACCAGCACTGTATTATTCCGTCTAGATGGGCCGAAAATCCCTCTACTTAATTCCGACGAAATCCTGGGTATATTCGTTTTGACTGTTTTGATTTGGTGGCAATATAGGACAAAATGCCAATCTGCCGTGATGGGCTCGAACTCTGCCAAGCTTTCCAGGTTCCCCGCCTTCTCGTCTCGCTGCTGGCGACGAGTTAACGACACTTCATCACCCTCGCCCACCATGTTACAAACTAGTAGTCATGCAGAAACCATCAAACACCAATAGTACCTGTCAGGCGGTGATCGCGATCTGCGGCACTAGGTGCGGCTTTTTTTTTATTCATCTCCAGCAGGGATCCTCCCATGGGGACTTCCGCAGTCGTTCCCTGCCTCAAATTACATCAAAGCCATCATTGGTGGCCTATGCCTTCCGTTCTGAATGCCTTCACTAAATACTGCTCTGTTCTCGCTATACTATGCTGCAAGCGAAACGGCGACCCTCCAAGCTTCAATCATGGATTGTTCATCCGGGTCCTTCAGGTAAACCTCCCGGCACCCGTCGCCGGACTGCAACCCTCATGGCGTGGCCTTGTCTCTTCTTGGCTTATAGTTCGCTGGGTACTTTCGTATTGCTGAACTCTTATTGATGAAGCACTATATTCTGGGGAGAATACGGGACGGAAAGTTTCGTCCTACGCCTTCTATGCCCCGCATTCGATGAGTTGAAAGTTAAGCAATCATTTTCTGCACATGCTCCAAGTAAATGAACTTGCTTTGAGGAAGCAGAAAGTATATGTATGTATCTCTTGGTCGTTGAGGCTAAAGTTGCACAGTCAGATACCAAGCCTGGTTCTCCCAATATGGCCAGTTCCGTGATTGATGATGTATCTTTCACTCTGGGCTTATGTTCTATGATGTATTTTATCTTATTTCCCCATCCCCTGTCATTCCGCACTATGCTGAGAAGCTACCAGAAACTTGTGATAATGCAGGACATTTCATTTGGCAGATTATGCAGCTTTCACGTTGAAGACGCGTTTATCTTGGGAATAATGTTTTAACCTTCGTCGAGTGTTTCAGATGACGCTTGCAACCCATTTGAACAACTCCACCATTCACGTCCGGCAAGATATCTGGAGCCCTGACAGATCCAGGTTGTTCTCAGGTACAGGATCACCTTTTAAAGGTCTAGTGCACGATCTTGGTGCGGAAGCAAGATTTCCTGGGGTCTTGCCAGCATGTGGTACAACGAATAGACCAATTTTCTGAGATTGCGGGGAACATCAATCTTACCGGTCTGCGGCACCGAACCTCCCAACCCCGGCCTCTTTATCCATCTTGTCAGCTTTCCCCCTTCGGTTTGAGATGTTCTCCTCTCAATGCTATAATAACAATCTAAATCGGTATCCTGATTCGTTGAACTTAATTTACAGCATAGCCACACACGGGACCATGGAACCAGACTCCGCATTTGGAAAAGTCATCTGGTCGTCAAGTTCTCACACAGAATATTGGATTGACATACAGCAATTGCCCGATTCTTTCAATCCAATACAGGCAATATGCCGGGGATATCTCGTGAGATGACTCTACCTAGTGCTAATGGCACATACATTTTCTGGCGACTCTTCCAATGAAGTTACCAATGCGATAGATCGATCTTATCCCCTATTCCAGCCCTATGGCCACGAAGCCGCCTCCCTTAAGCGGATTGACGACGGCTGTATGGGCGCTACTCCCGTCGATCCGCTCTCGCAAGATTGAGGGATGAACTTGGGAATGTTGAGCTATCATGGAGCTATCTGCCTCATGGAGTGGTATATAGTTCAGTGGGCCCTCGACAGCTTCGCCCATCCACCATCATTTTTACAATCCTCGTATCTTCATTCTACTTGGTACCTCATCACAGTTGCAACATGTATCGAAGCTTTACTCTTGCGACCTCACTGGTCGCTGCTGTTGCACGCGGCCAGCAGGTAGGCACACTGCAGACAGAAACCCATCCTGCTTTGACATGGTCGAAATGTACCTCAGCAAGCAGCTGCACCACCCAATCAGGAAAAGTGGTTATTGACTCCAACTGGCGCTGGGTTCATGACGCGACTGCAGGCAGCTACACCAACTGCTACACTGGAAACACTTGGGATGCGACCTTGTGCCCAGATGACGTGACATGTGCTGCAAACTGCGCTTTGGAAGGTGCAGACTACGCAAGTACCTATGGGGCTACCACGAGCGGGAACGCATTAAGTCTCACCTTTGTCACGAAGGGAAGCTCCTCCACCAACATCGGTTCTCGTTTGTATCTCATGGACACCGATACCTCATACCAACAATTCGATCTCCTGAACAACGAGTTCACATTTGATGTCGATGTGTCAAACCTTCCGTGTGGTCTTAATGGAGCGTTGTACTTTGTTTCAATGGATGCAGATGGTGGATTGGCCAAGTACTCTACCAACAAGGCAGGTGCCAAATATGGCGTCGGATACTGTGACTCGCAATGCCCGCGAGATCTCAAGTTTATTAACGGTGAAGTATGCATTCCAACACCTCCTTCAACAACCCATTATGACTAACAAGAGAACAGGGTAACGTTGACGGCTGGAAGGCTTCCAGCAACGACGCAAACGCCGGTGTCGGTGGCCATGGTTCGTGCTGCGCGGAAATGGATGTCTGGGAAGCCAACTCAATATCCGCTGCTCTGACCCCGCACTCCTGTTCGACCGTTAGTCAGACAATGTGTGATGGCGACGCCTGTGGAGGTACATACTCCAGCACTCGCTATGCCGGCATCTGCGATCCCGACGGCTGTGATTTCAACAGCTACCGGCAGGGCAACACGACATTCTACGGCAAGGGTCTGACAGTGGACACCTCCAAGGTCTTCACAGTCGTGACGCAGTTCGTTGGCAGCCCCCTCACGGAAATCAAGCGCTTCTACGTCCAGGACGGAGTCGTCATCCCCAACTCCTACTCCACCATCGCAGGCACCACGGACTACAATTCCATCACCACCGCATACTGCGACGCTCAGAAGGCTGCTTTTGGCGATAACTATAGCTTCAAGACCCAGGGTGGGATGGCATCCATGTCGTCGGCTATGAGCGCGGGTATGACGCTCGTCATGTCCGTCTGGGATGATCATTATGCCAATATGCTCTGGCTCGACTCCACCTATCCGACTACGGATACTGCTGCTGGTGGACCGAGAGGTACATGTGCGGTTACGTCGGGCGTGCCGGCTGATGTCGAGGCTTCGAGCCCGGGTGCTAGTGTCATTTATTCGAACATCAAGTTTGGACCTATTGGCTCTACCTTTACTCAACCAGCTGGCACCTAAGTCCTAGGCTAGGCTAGGTTGAAGGCTACCTAGTGTAGTGCAGTGTATTCCAAAGGAAAAAAGCAAGGAAGGGGACTTGGATTGTATATATGCGCTTGTGCAATGGTGTAGCTTTCATTTCAGGCTTCTGTTGGATTCTTGTGTCCATACTCTCGTTTCTTGGTCGAGGCAGATGATTGTATATATCACATGAGGTGCAAAAGAAGAGAAGACTGTATATAGGTTCGTAAATGCTACTGTCGCTATCTCCCACTCCTACATGCCTCCTGACTATATCAGAGAAGAGTGTGTGATTAAGCCATGACATTTCCGTTCGTAAAGGCATGTAGTCACGTGACGCTCCTCGTGACAAAAGATCGTTGGGGCTCAGAGGTTCAGATGTGGGCTATGAAGCTGGGTGGGTAGAAGATGAAGTGCGTATAAGATGGAAGGAAGAGCGTTCTAGTGTCTGCTGGCTAATAAACCAATACCAATCTAGTTTCCAGCAGCAATATATCAAGCAAGAACCAAGAGGCCGTATAGTACTGGTAACTGGCATACTGTTTCACGGCCTTCCCTACAATAAATAGGACTGTCAATCTTAATCCCTTAGGCTCTTTACTGGGCCTATGCATATGCTTCCCTAAGGTATGCTAGACATAAAAAGCAGCACTTACTCTCATCGACTTTTAAGAATGACCTACCATATAGCTACCAAGCACATTACAAATTGTGCGCCGCGTGTTTTTCTACCCACTTGGAGGCTTCTTCTTTTCGCACTGTAGCGACGGCCGTAAAACACTGTAGGAGTTAAGCATTTTAAACAGCTTGCGAAGTTGCTCTTACATTGGAGCTGAATGTAATATTCTGTATCTCATCCCCAGGTTAACGTGTTTACGACTCAGCCTGTAACCTCAATAATCACTGTACTGTACCTACCGTTTGTACAGTACATGGCGCGCTTTACGAGGCGTACTGTGGACACGGCGCAATATAAAGCGAAAACTGCAACTGGGCAATCAGAACAAAAGCGAGGCTTTCTCATTGCTGATTTGTAACATGGGACCGCTTATCGCATTTCAGGTCGTGTTTGATGGTTGTAGGTGTAGGTGTGTTTTTGAAACTGCAAGCGCATCGCATCACCACTTTCGAGACAGGAGAAGGAGGGTCAACTTCATTAGCCGATGCGTGCGCCACTCATGATCTGCAACGTGACATTGGAGATGATGATGATGGTGATGATGGATTGATAGTTGAGAGGTTTGTTTCTCGTGAAGCTGTGTATTGAGAATAAATGACTGGATTTCTAGGAGTAAAAATCCAGGAGTAATGGGAGATAATGCGAGTGAGATTGTGAGATGTAGAAGTCCATTTAAGGTTTCTCTCCTGGATTACAGGGGCAATGGCGCTTTCGGGAGTGGAGTGGCTAGGGCTGGCTGGCTGGCTGTGGCTTTAGCGCTCCTTGGCTTCCCCGCGTATTCCAAACAAGCCCGTCCAAAATCAAGACCATCTATATCCGCCATCACCCATCACAAGAAACCCCATCCCATTCCATTCCATCCCATCCCATCCCAGCATATCTCATCTCCCATCTCTAACTCTCGGACCACAATCCGATCGCAGGCAAATCCTCCGGAGCCATGCGAAACAAGTTCCGAGTATCAAACTGCTAATCGTGGCGGCTGCCGAGTATCACCTAGCCGCATTTCGAGGCTTCGCGTTCATCCCCTCCCCTTCCCTGTCCCGTTTCAATTGATCCTCCTGCCAGTGAGGCTGTGATTCGTCCCAAAAACGGCGGTTGCACTGTATTGACTGCATTGATCTGCAAAAGTCTGCACATCTCCATACTCCGTACTTGGAATTATCGGAAAACGCTGCCCGATTGTGCAGTTTCTTCACAGCCTCCCTGGTTCTAAAACTTGTTCGGGAAAAATGGAAACGGGGCATACCCAGGTTGACGTGATCACTTGCATCTCAAGTCCTGTATGAGCACACCGTGAAATCTGCCCTGGTCGAAGTCGATGCAGTATATAAGATGGCAGTTGTCTTCTGGTTCTCTTCTTGTTATCCTCATCATCCCCACTCGGCTTGACGCTTGTACAGTACTTTACTTTATACCTTCCTTCGTTCGATACGAATTTCATCTTCTACACTCCTTCAAACTCTTTAGACTATCAACGAATCTCATTCAGATACCCCAATACATATAGATATACATTACATTTCATTCCAACACCAACACCAACCAACACAACCCGCAAACATGAAGGCCTTTACCATCACTACTCTCCTTAACCGTACGCTCTCGCCTCTAACCATTCCCCAATTGCGCACTAGCTGACATCTCCCACAGTCGCACTTCTCGTCTCCGCCGTCCCACCCTTCGATCCCTCAGGCGCCAAAAACGTCGGCAACAACGCCGGTACCCAATTCATTGGCGGTCAATGCCTCTCCGACGCTGACTGCGGCTCCGCATGTTGCGCCAACCCGACCGGAATCTGCTCCGGCGTGGGCGCCCAAACGCAAAACGGCAAAACAGGCTGCGGTTTCTCTAGCTCAAACGACACCTCTGCGGCCGCTTCTAATGTCGCAGCAGCAGCAGTATCAGCAACGAGCAGCACTGCGGTAGCAGCAACTGGAAGTGCAGTAGCTGGTACGAACGCAGCTGGTGGTCCGGCTTTCGATCCGTCGGGCGTCAAGAATGTCGGGAATGCGGCGGGGGCTCAGTTTATCGGCGGCCAGTGTCTCAGCGGTGCCGATTGTGCGAGTACGTGCTGTGCGGGGCCGTCGGGTATCTGCTCGGGACTTGGGGCGCAGACGCAGGCTGGGAAGACGGGGTGTGGATTTGTGTCGAGCGCGAAGCTTTTCAGGGCTTAGATGGCTGGGATGAGAAGAGATGAGCAGGCCGCAGGGCGGAATAGGGGGTTTTGTTGATTTTTATTCTTGAATTTTGCATTGCATTGCGTTGCATTGGATTGGATGGATAGATGGATAGGTGCCGTGCACCGGGAAAAGAAGAACGGATGGGGTCAGTCGTTTCAGAGGTTCTGTTTTGGTAATGGATATGGGGTTTAAACGGCCGGGCACGTGTGCATGCATACACCTGGAAGGAATGGTTTGTTTATTGGAAGAGACAGCATCACGAAACAACGTTTAATGCAACACTATTCTTTCACAGTCTTGCTATACCGTCGGAATAAACGCCTTTGATTCAATCCGGGCCCGCATATATCCAGAAAGAAAGTCCAGCGACGCCGATATAGCTCGAAATCAATGACTAATTTATGGTAAAGACTCTGAGTTTATGATCGATCGCCCGATATATGCATGTGCTGCTTCGCGATGGAGGAAAGCTTAGTAGGTAGGTAGGTACCATGGTTCGTCATTCACAGATGCATGCTGCATGCATCGACGGCTATATATGAAATGCACACCTACCTAGCTATACTCCGTAGTTCGTAGGACAGTGGTTGTGCACGTGGGGCCGGCCTTGTCATCTACCGATATCATGTTGTATGTCAGCGCTTTTCGTATTAGCTGGCGGTCCGCACAGTACTTCTCCTTGCCAGTATCCTCGTCCTCGTCCTCGTTTGATGACAGGGAGGTGAGCTCGTTGAACCGTTGAGTGAAATGTTTGTGGACGCTTGAAAGGTAGGTAGTGAGTGAGTGAGGGAGTGATCTTGGACTTGGAATTCAGGGATTGAGTGATGGATGATTGATACCAGGCTGGACAGGTCATGTTCATATTACAAATAAGCGAGTATCTGCTGCCCTGCCTCCCTCTCTCTCTTTTACTGTACCATTTCTTCTCAAACCCCCTTCGAACTCCAGATTCATCTTTTTTAACTGGCGGAAATATATAT